CATTTGACAGCAATATTTGTAAAGCAGAATTTACAAATCGAGCTATCGTTGCATGATTGATATCTTGTAGTTCTTTAGAACAGGGTAAATGAGACTTCGTTACTTCATCCTCACACATTTTTCCAACGACTAAATTCGCTATATGTATATGTAATCACCCATTATATTGGTAGTTTCGTCTATGGATACCCAAATGTAATGGTTTGCTATATCTTGCTTAATGTTTTGCAGAGTCGACGTATAACAATCATTTAAATAATTCTTCCTCAGCGTTGACTCATCTGGAATATTGCGACCTGTGTATTTTATTAAAAAGTTTCTCCATGCTTCATTATTTAATATATTCAAACTAAACTGTCGCAATCGAAACTTGAACTAATTTGTTGTCACGATATCGCCCTCCAAGGAGAACCGCTCACTCTTGTAAACATGAATTCAAAATTCAATCTTGTGAGATAAATATGCTATGTACAAGTGCACGAAATATGCAATATGTTTAAACATATGTTCGTAAAAAATAAATATGCAAAGCATATGCGTTATACAATATATGTAAAATAAAAAACACATTTTGAGAATCTCCTAATGACAGAACAAATTTCTGTCTAGGTTACGAATTTTTATCTACATTCCGTCAACATATGCATTTTCATGAACATCCGGACTCTACTGATAACGCATCGTTCAAAAAAAAAAAAAATTGCCCGATACTTCTCTTGAGGTCCCCCACAAATCCACAATGTTTAAAAAAAATCGGAATTTTCGGGTTACCGAAGTTCCCTTGTAGAACAGAATATTTTGATCGTATTATAATGTTGTTTGTACGATAGAAAAATATTTAAAGGCTCAATGAGTTTTTCCATATTAAAATTTTAAAAAAGGGGAAATTTTTACTGGAATAATTAAATAAACTTTGAATGGGTTTTTTAGATTACATATTCCATGTTAAAATTTTCAAAAAGAGAGGAATTTTTTATCAGAATAATTAAATAAACTTTCAGTACAAAATCTGAGATGTAACAAAGCTTTGGTGATTCCAAATAAAAAATTAGTTTAGTACTGCGTGTTTCATTTCTTTGCTTGATTGCTTCTGTGTAGTAGGATTTATATTCTACTTTTTTCATTTCGCTAGTGCATGTATGTAAATACTTATTTTTCTTTTTGCACAATTATTGTGTTATTTTTCTATGCTTTGGATTGTACATTACGTTTTTTTTTACAGAGAATACATGATTCGGAGTATAGTCAGTATTCTATTTTTCGATAAGAGATTAGATTACTTCATATATAGTCGGGGCCACGATATAGCGAGGTCGTAAAATCGGTCAGACGTCAAAGTAAACATGTTTTAGCTGCCGGGACCCGAAAATTGACAGAGATACGAGCAGATAAGTACTTGAAACCATGGTCAGGACCGTACAAAGAATTCTTGTATCCAGCGAAAGTCAACTGATTCTAATATATTTACTGAAAACTGCATGCAGCTAGGACAAATTAGGGTTTTGTATAATGGACTGCTTTAATTTTTTGGATTTTTCCAAGTGACTAAAGCTTTGGATGAATATTGAGAATACTCTGGAATGGCAAAGATCTTCTTTCACGCCTTCACGTGACCCATTCTGTTAAGCACCGTTCCTTTATTATTTGAAAGCCCTAACATTAAATATCTTTCAAGTAGTTTTAAGAAAACTTGAATGGAAATAATAGTGCAACTAAGATGAAAGAAAGGCACATAACTATAAAGAATAAAGAAATTGTACATGAAAATTTTCTAATTTGACAAATTTCCTAAATTAATATAATATTATTCGAAACCATCACCTAACAGTTAAAAGGCTGGTTTCAGTATTACATGGGTTTTCATGTGATCTTTCATAGCGACGATCTTTTGACTAGAACACGCGCATGTGATGAGTCATCTACTAATAAACAATTACGTTACTTTCTTATTTGTAATTTCATAGTTGCGTTTAGTTCTAATTCCAACCACTACTAATGTTATAATCTTATTCTATGCTGAATCGGTAACGTTGAAATCGACACGAAAATGGTAAGAGCACTCACAGCCTTCCTGACGCGAGACAAAAAAAATGCATTAGATGTTAGGTCTATTCTGTACCTCATCTGTGATTAAACACTTAGATCTCTAATTAACACAGATCCTGTTTCAGTACATCTTTGCAAAAAATGTTTCCGATTCACTTCAAATTTTGTATATATAATTTCGATACTCGTATCTTATAGTAGTTACAACATTACTTTCAGAACTTAAGTCTAATATGCATATTTTCGTTGTTTTAATAGCGAGCATTCGAATACTATCGTGAGCCACTATAGATATTTATTACAAAGGATTAATGCGTATATTTAAGAACAGATACATTTCATCCGTTAAAAATGTTTATTTCATGTAATAAATATGTATACAAAATTGCAAATGAGTTATATTCTTAGAAATAAGAATCACCTCCTACACTTTACTATAACATTACACCCACAGAAGATCGATTCGCTAGACCTGTCAGTTTCTAACATCCTCGGAGAAACGTGTAAATCTAATCGATCATTAAGTAACCAAATACTCCTAGTTGCACGTAATCTCCTGTAACTTCGCTCCTGGTACTACGCCACTCGGGCTTCTAAGTTCAATTTCATATTGCACCCTGGCAATAGACCAGAGGCTATGTACGTCGTATACGTACACATGCAAACGTTTCCGAGAACGCACGCACCAAACTACAATATGTTTCACAACGTCAATAACGGACTATTATTGAACGACTTTTAAGCCAAAACTAATAAAGAGTTTGACGTTTTAGTGTTGGTTAATTACACACACTTCAACCCACCAAATCTTTATATTTAAAGACGAAAACGGAAACTTCTAAATTTGTTTTAGAATACTGGAAAATTTCCAAATTTACCAGGTGTACATTTTATGAAACATCTTATATGGAAACGTACCCTAAGACCCGCGTATTTCAACACTAATACATAAGCATGCATGCAGGCGCACGTATGCTCGAATTCGAAACTTTGGATCGTACTTTCGAAGGGCGAATATGGAGCATCTATTTTGAACCAGCGCGAACTTGAACTTAAGCAATCGACGTAATCTTGATTATGGCCGCATGATAGCCAGGAAATTGGTAATTATGACGGAGAACGATAAGACATGCTTTCCGCGGAAAGTTTAACGACTCGACCGGATGGGAATCTAGGTGAAATTATTTGATACGCAGATTGCGAAGCGATTATACCTCTAGCCTGGTTCCGAATGTTACTTCGTGTTCGTAAATTCGACCAGCACGATACATTTGAACTAAATATATAGTTATCTTTACAGGGAAATTTATGTAATCGAGTCGTTAACCTTTATTCCGGAAAGATTGAGCATACTCAATGGCGTAATTACATCCCACGCCAAGTGGAAGTATGTACATAAGAATTCCATGAAATGTTGAATCAAGAGCAAATTGCATTATGACTATTTATCACTAATTAATTACTTTATCCTAAAGTTTTTCTTTTATTTGATTGCTTCTTATCTCGCGACTTTTATCTCATTTCATGCCATTTAATTTCTCATCCGTTGAAGAGGAATTCGAGATGAAAGATCATGATCATTAAATGTGCTAAACTTGGTAGATATAAGCAATTGGAATAATAAAAAGTATTATAAAAAATACATGTTTATACTTCCTTAGTTCTCGTATATTATTTTACGGTTAAAGACATACCTTTTGTATATCTGTGTCATCTTTGACATAAACCAACGTCACAACAAGGTTTTAAAGATTATTAGAATGGACTATCTAGTAAGAGTGAAATCTTGTACATACGTACATAACCCTATCCCTTTATGGTATGCAAGAAAGATCTCGACATTTTCACCAGAAACCTTCACGATCCGTGTTACTTATCGCTAGGCACAGACATTGTTCTCGATTATCCATTCCGATCAAACGAAAACGGCATGAAACGTGTGCAAAGATCGACGGCCACGATAAAGTCGCGAGATAGCACACGTACGAAACGAACCACCGAACTGCGCATGTAAACGTAACCTTATCCGTACGAGGTTGCACATGTGTATCCATAGATAAAAGCGGTATTCGAGGTGATCGAGGATTCCAGTGAGCGTGTAACGATCTTCAAGGATGATGTAAGTTCCTTTTGTGTTTAATTATCAATTATCAACACCATATATTAAAAACTTTTCATTTTTCGCGGGGATTCACCTGCTTCTACTGTAACGTTTTCTCTGTTCACATGTGAATTGAACTTTTATGAAATATCTAGCGTACTTAATAACTAAAGCTTGAATTATTGCACGAAATACAAGTGTAATTCAACGGAAGTCCTTGTCAGAAGTAAAAAATTTATTCTCAACTCTGAATTCTATTAATTGATAGCTTCGTTGATACATACGGTGGTATTATCGGCAACTTTAAATTGATAGCTAGTTAACTAAAACTTGAACGTCAGTCTGACGCGCGAAACTTCTTTTCAGCAGCTGGGTTCATGACTCGAGTTCATGGCCCGCCTTTCTGCATATACGTATTCACAGCTTGGTGGGATGGTAGCTCGTGCGCGGCGCGATGAACCGACTCGGCCAAAAGCTACCGGAATTATTAACTCCTGTCAGTCTAGGCAGCTCGATGCAGCAACGAGCACTTGACTGCCTCTTCCACTTGTTAAGACCATCTTAAAGGAGATCCATCGATTCCTCGAAGATCAAACGTAAAAGACAAACGCTGTCTAGTCTCTCTTAAAAATAACTCATTATCTTTGGAAATGTTCATTTAGAAAATATACTTTAAATGTTAGACTCTTCAGTTTCAAGGAATTGTCTGAACGGATTTGTTTTGATTCTCACGTTAAAGCAAAGATTTTTTTGTATATTATGTTGAAGTGTTTGTAAGAGGTTGTACTTTTAAGACACGTGAGTGGATACGGTATAAATATGGATATGGAGGAAGTGGAGGAAACTGAGGAGAGCACCAACTCGTGTTCGACGTCCACATCGGCGTCCTCGGCGTCGATGCGTGGCAAGAGACACTGCATGGAAATGCGCTCGGAGAAGCCGATGTACCTTCGTCAGAAAGGTACGATAGGAAAGACGTGTCAGTTGTATTGTACATGGAGGAAATTAATTTTACACATTTTTAAACATTTTTCTTTTTCTACTAAAGGAGCAATACTTTTTTAGGAATTATTCGCTGCTTACCCACATTGTTACACAAGCATGGTACATTTCTAGAATCCGGTTTTGCACCCTGGATGATTGATTAGCAATAGAACATATCTTTGCCTTCAAATTTTCCCAATTGCACGTGTTGTTACAAAAACCACATTAAATATAGTTTAATCACACAATAATATAAACTTTTTATTTTTTTCAATTAAATAATTCTCACTGAGACAATTGATTCTACCGACACTAATGTTGTTTCAAAACTATTTTTTCACCACAACACCATGAGCATCTTGTAGTGACACACGAGTGTAACACATTTTGTTTTAAAATTAAAAAATTAGTGAATACTGTTGTGCAATGACAAAGATGACAGGAGGACGTTGCAGAGCACCGCAAAGCTTGACAGCGAATGAATTAAATTTCACCGTTCGTGGAGCCGATTCGCGAAGAATCGCTAAATGCGAGCTGGCAAATTAGATCGATGAATCGCGGGGGCAAATTAAACCGCGTTATATCGGTAGGTGTAATCGGCAAATGCAGATGCCTGTTCCGACGCGAATTCGTAATTTGATAGACTCGATTACACGCGAACACGCGATTCAAAGGCGGCTTCGTGAAAAGCGTGCTCAAGATGTAAGTACACATGCCAGAGAGGTGCCCTCCGTTATCCGTTAGCCTGTGTGCAGGACGAATAACCACGTGTTATTCACCGTTAAGACGTATCCAAAGACACGTAAAAAATTTTATAACATTCTATGGTACATGTGTGTTATATTATATGACATGATATAGGTTATGTTGTACGATATTTTTATTATTATAATGTATGATATATACAGGTTTATATTTTTGCTTTATATTATTGTATATAGTATAGGTTATATTGTCTGTTTCTTTTTATTATATAGGATGCTTCAAAAAAAAAAAAAATTAACACTTGTAAGAAGAATCTGTACATGTATACATATGTTTTTCTCTTTTCTTTGCAAATGTGATTGCAAGAATACAGAACGAAATGTGCCTCAAGGCTGTGGAGACTTCCTGAAAAAGACAAAATATATATGTATAGACGATATATGCATTGTGTTATCTGTTTTGTTCCTCTGGAAAAGTTACTTTACAACAGTTTTAGCTTTTGTGTATTATGAAAGGTACATGGAAACTTGGAATCTAAAGCTTCAATTCATCATTGAGACAGTAGTCCAAGTTTCACATAAGTGGATATAAAAAAATGTTTGAAATGTTCAATTATGTTTAAGTATATAAATTAAATAAAAATATAATGGAGCTTTCGAGGAATATTGAATAACGTTCAGATTTATCCAGGAAGTAAGCAACAATTTCCTAATTACGTCAAATTAGAATTAGGTTAGGTTAGGTCTTTGTGCTAAGTAATTTTTACAAAAATATCGAAGGAAAGGCACAAGTTTGAAGCCAGACGATCCTCCTTTCGCAGACAGGCACCGAAACTATTATTCCAGTGTGAGAAAAAAGGCCTCGTAACGGAGAATAGAGGTTAAAGAGGATCCGATTTACACGTATACACGTTTTTCTGAGTTCGCGTGTCACGCGAAACGATCCGCGCAAAGCAATAATACACATTGGGTAAATGGCGCACGTGTGCCAGAGCCAGTAAAATGGTAAAACGTAAAAAGAAGAACAAGTTCGAGGGCGTGAGATTTACGGTGCATCGTGTTTATTTGCTGAAACGGCATTTCTTTCCAATTTTCCTCTACTTCAAACACAAGCAAGATTGCGGAAGCGAGCTTTACGTCCACTGGCTCGGATAATGAAAAAATTGCGTAAATATTTTACCTTATTACCATGTCCAATTTTATAGTAATCTTCCGTAGATTTGTCTAACGTAACCTAATATACACTGAACTTTAATCTCTTTTTAAAATATTCATCAGTTTCCACGTTTTAACAAAAAGTATAATTTTTTTAAATTAAAATCAGAATATACGGGATAGATCATTTTACAGTCGCTACAAAGTAACCTCAAAATCGCACAAGATCGTATAGAAGTAACTGCAAATTCAGAATCACCTAACCTAACCTTAACCTCATTTTTATTAACAACTAATCTACAATGGCTCACTCGATACAATCCAACAATTAAACAGCTACAGTTACTCCGAAAAATATTAGGACACTACCAAGGGAACATCCCCAAGTGTCACTTACCGATTTTGATGAAATTTACATATGATGTAGCTCTCGAAAAAATATTTAACATGAAATTTTTTGTTTACTTGCCATCATTCATATTGAATTGGTGAAAACACCCTTCAAAGATGGGGTGTTAAAATATATTTGGCCCAATATTTCGGGAACTATTAGAGATAGAGTAATAGTTTAAATGTAGAGATTGTGTGTTTCTCAATGACGAATTCACCTACATTATTACTTTTTAGAATAATTGATTTGTTTAAATAATATATTAAAAATTCCTGTTTTTTTGTTAATTTTTCATGCAACACGTTAATCCATTTCCACGTAAATTTGTGTACAGATACTTTTGACTGTAGTAAAAAATAAGGTTGGATTGGAATTTTGATTTTTTATATTATAATAAAAAATTATTACATTCGTATTTTACTCACATTCTGTGCAAAATGCAGCGTTAGATTACTTATAGTCGTGAAAGTTATAAATTTTTATAACTTTTCAAGTAATCCCATTATGTTTGGTATTGGTAATTAATCCTCGAATGGCTAAAATTGGTACCGCAGGTATAACATTCACGCGCAACGGTCACTGGCCTAGCAGATATGGAGCGTATAAGACACGTTCTGTTCGGTCGATTCACTACCATGATATATTTAGAGAAAGAAAAATTAGTTGAGAAATGTTTGAGGTCTTAAAAAGGTCCAACCTAGAGTTTTCCACTTTTGAAAAATTATGATAGTACTGAAAACAGCTAATTTCATTGTGAAAGACATCTTTAGCAGCATTATCTTTGTTTAGGTTAGATTATCTTTATTTCACAGTAGAAATTGTTCAAAAAAATGAGTAAAGCACAAATATTCTTTACGCTATGAACATGTTAAACATCATTGTAACGGGGATAAATCAATGTATGCACATTTGTAAAGTAATTGTAATATCTCGATAAATTATAAAAGGCTTGGATTCGTGCTTTTTCTTATCAAACGTCATTTATTGTACTTTAGAATTACATATTGTTAATTTATGCATGTCAAATTACCATGTTAGAAAAATATTCGGGTACTAACAAAGGAAGTTTGGTAAGCAGAAAATGAAAAAAAATTGGCGCTAATAACGAAACCATTGTTTGTTTCCGCAATGAAACAGTCCCAAAAAAGTTATGAGTTTTGAGAAACCATGTAAAGTATGTCCGATTTATCTCAGAACAGTGAACTATCTCGGAAAATACGAATGCTACAAAGAAATATTTCAGACGAAAGTTGTAGGGTATAGAGGGTTACATATTGTTATGGTATATACATATTTGACTTTGCAATAACCTTGAAAAGCCCTGTAAAGATTACGTTTATGTTTTTAAATAGAAATGTATATTTTTGAGTATGTATTCTTGTAGCTGACATCGAGACGTTTTCAAAACGCTGCATACTTGTGGTTTTTGCGTAAATTGTTATCGAGATGTCAACCTCCAAGTTTTATATGCCGCCGACATTAGCGTTATCCGATGTACACCGCGGGGAGGTTGCTCGGTCGGACTTTGTACATCATGATGGCTCTAAAAAGAGCCGATTTTGTATGTGTGTGTAAACTGTTCAATTTGATCTCGTAAAAAGCGCTGAATTTGCAGTCGTCAGAAAGATTCGGTAACCGCAATTTTCTATTATCCGAGTATTTAATAGGATTTCTCAACACTTATTCACTTACATCTGTTGTCTCTCGTTTCCTTCAATATGCTGTCCGTCGAAAGCATACAGCCTTCCATTCTTCTTAAGAAGTCTTTTTCTACATTTTTTAACATTTGTGGAGTTATAATTCCACATATGTCAGTGATTCTTCTTTGCAATTCGTAAACATCATTTACGGGTGTATCATAAACAATTTGTTTTAAATGTCGTGTATTTAAATACACACAGACAAGAATACATACTTAAAAATATACATTTCCATTTAAAAACTTAAACGTGATCTTTACAAGGCTTTTCAAGGTTATCGCAAGGTCAAACAAATACCATAACAATATGTTGCCCTCTATAACCTACAACTTTCGTCTGAAATATTGTTTTTTTGTAGCATTCGTAGTTTTCGAGATATTTCACTGTTCTGAGATAAACCGGACATACCGGACTTTTCAAGGTTATCGCAAGGTCAAACAAATACCATAACAATATGTTGCCCTCTATAACCTAAACCGGACATACAGTATGATATGGAAAAACAATTAAAATCAAAGTTGTGTGGTTTTTAATATCGTACATTGTGGTGGTAAAACATTTTCAAGAAACACTTTTTTCAAAATTTACCCTTACCACTCTTAATTTTTTTGAGAGAAAATAGTTTTCCGAAAATTCTATACCATCACAATGTCGGATATCAAAAACCATACAACTTTGATTTTAACTTTGTTTCCATATCTTCTAAGGTTTTGTAAATATTCACGATAATATGAGAACTCAGAATTTCTTTTTGGAGGTGTTTCCACGCCTAGGACCGTTTCATTGCAGAAACGAAAAATGATTTCGTTATTAGCGTCACTTGAACTACATTTTTGTTAAAATCAAAATATTTTTTAATTTTCAGCTTACCGAATTTCCCTTGTTAGTAAACATGGATATCTTGAATATTCATAATATTATTTTTGCCTGCATAAATGTGTAATGGTTGGTTGTTAATATTCGAATATTTTTGGTAGTAAATATAAATCCAAAGTATTGTAACCTAACCTAACCAAGAATCTTATCTGTTCTACATGTATCGTGCACGTCGACAACAATTAACACTCAAGTAGCATTATACACGCAGAAGCCGCACTTCCGGTGCACGTGTATCTCGAACCACAAGCAACATCCCTAAAAGACACGACTGTAGAAGGTTCGCGTGGCCCGAGACACGTCTAGTACACGACAAAAGCGACAGACAGACGTTATTAGGGCATGTCTATCGCCTATCCAGACGAACGAGTGTGTCTTTTCGGACATACGAATTGACACGTTTCGTGCTGCTGAAAGTTTCACGGACTCGTCGCGATATCTGACTGGAATCAGCGTATATAAAGAGACCTGGAATCCGGCACGAATCCCAATTGATAGTCGATGGCTTGGTGCGCCGGTGTGCCAGTGTGCATCACCGGGTGACAATCGCCGGAGGCTTCTAGTGTACTCCTCCAGCCACTCCTCCTTTTCTTTATACTTTTGTTAATCTTCTCTCTCTTTCGATTTCTTCTCTCACTTAGAGTTAAGTTTTCTATTCTACTCTGTGATATTGTTAATTTATAATTCATAAAGATAATTTATGGATGATTTTGGTGTTCTTGTTGATGTGTAAAGTTGAAGTTTGAGGAAAATGTTGCTGTCTGCTAGAGCAGCTAGGTGTGCTGCTCTGATGGGAGAGCCAGATGAACTTTATCCAGGTGGAGAATTTAAAAAGTTGAACAAATAAAATAGTCTAGTGATAATATTTTGTGGCTGTTTATTGCAGAGAAGATCATATATCCCAGGAACACCAGGACTCTGACCAAAACTGCTGTAATTGGTGGCAAACCTATTGAAGAGGAGACTTGCATGGTAATTCTCATTAATTAGAAGCTTTTTAACATTGAAGAGTAACAAGGTTTTTATTGGTATTAAAAGAGCTTTAACTTCTGATGTGTGTGTAGACTGTAGTTGGCTGCTAGACAATTTTTCATCAGTTTTACTTGAAAGCTTGAGACCTTGCCAGATATTCAAGTGCTTGAAAGCTTCTTCTAGCATAATTTCAAGCATGATGTCTTTCTTAATACCTCTGTTTCCTTTGTATTTCATATGATAGGCCCTGAGAACCTTGGTTTTTGGGAGTTGCGCCAGTCCACCTAGACCAGAATGGGCAAGAACTGGATTTACATTAAGACCTTATGGTCAGAGCTTGGCGTTTGGTCTACGGGCACCGAGAAACACGACTAGGGGCCTTGTTACTGCTATTCAAGCTATTATGTTGAAGCATTTTTTGTTCAAGTACAATAGGCAGGACACCCATACCAGCCCAGAAAGGTAGACCTCTTCAAAATGTTCAAATTTTAACCAGTAATTCATAAAAACTTGATCAAAAGGAATTTACATTATAGACTAAAAGTTTTCAAAAAGATGCTTCTAATTTACTCAAATTCAAAATTATTTTTACTTCTTTTTAGGACGCACTTTTGGACTTGCATAAAGAAGAAGAATTTTAGTTGCTGGACTTGCACCAAGAAAAGAAATTTTGTACTTGATTCCACATGCACAAGAATTTTATTTTTCTTAATTTGACTTGTTATTTCATACCTAATTTTCTAAACCCTTTACTTCTACTTTTTTTTTTATAGTGCATGGAACAAGTTCTGCTTAGTTTAAGAATAGTTTATCTATTTGTATCGATAGTTCCAACAGTAAAGGATAGCTGAAATGATTATTTTTGTCGAAAGTAGCTTGCTGAAGCCGTCGTATGACAGGCAAATCGATGTTCTGACATCAGCGATAGCAGAGATCATTTGGCGGTGCGCCGGAGGGTTCACAGTGCAGAGTACTGGTTGCTCGCCAAATCAGAATGTCACCGGAAATGCAAACGTGCCCAGGGCCGTGGTAGTTCTGCCGCAAGAGACACCCTATGTGCAACATAGTGTGCAATACTTTCAGGATGGTCTCACGGAAACTGTACGTAAATATCCTTTTCGCTGTCAGACTAATTAAGGATTCTCTGATGTTAAGTCGAGTAGAGTATCCATTAGAGATTTGTCATCATCCTGAGGAATATACAAGAGTAGTTTATAGTGTTATTGTGTTACCAAAGATTGGAGATTATATTGTACAGTACTAGTGGGTCAGTAGATCCTTGATAGAATTGTCTTTATGCATTGTGAAAGTCAATCAATCAAGTAGCACGTTTTGGCTCAATTCATCTGCTGGCAGTGATCCAGTCCATGGCTTTACTTTCTTCTTTCATTCATACAGTTTTCTTGGAATTCTTTTTATCTTAAGATTCTTTTTTTGTAGCTGCATTTATTTGAGTTTGAAGCTCTGCAGGATTTGGAGATATTTGTCAAAAGATACTTGTACCTGGTGAGCTCATGTGACTAAAAGAATCCTTCTTTTATTAAATTATATTCTGTTACGTGTTAATTGTTCTAGTTTCAAGATGAGGGTGGTCCTGGTGCAAAATTACTCTTGTACAGCGCCATACTTTCCAGAGGACTTTCCAAGTGAGTGGTCAAGTATCATTTATGCACTTCTACTGGTTTTAACCACATAAATGTTTTTGACTACTTTCATTCACTATTCAAAATATTTGTAGCGTTTAACTATAATTATTTATAATTAAATTTTATGGAAATTTTGTACCTGCACAGGATACGAGGTGATCTCGAAGACGCTAAAGGGTCGATATTGGGCGGTTGTTCAGAGGAGGGTCCCCCACATGTGGTACTTCTCTCGTTAACCGGTCGTGCTTCGCCTCACCTTCACAATGGGGTGCTGCACGTGGGGGATGAAAACACATACGTGAGTAATTTACATTCCTCCCGTGTTCACAGCCTTGATTTTTATTTTTTCCTGCGAATGTCAAGGCTGTGCCACAATGGGGAGTTCTCGTGAGGAGCGAAATAGGATTTCTGGTGCACGAGGGCGACGGACAATTGAGCAAACAACCAGGCTCACGCCTGAAGACTCCCAGTCTGCCGATTTGGGTCACTCTGTGTCATGGCCACCATGGTGTCCTGTTCAACACGAACCGCGAATTGCTCAGAAATTACCACGCTGAACGACGGTATACACTTTCCTTCTTTTATTTAAAATTTTAAAACCTCCATGTTTATATTTTCTCAAGCCTCAATCTTTTATGTTTTTATTTCTTTTTAAAGTCTTAATTTTAAACGAAATTTTGAGGTCCTAAATCTTCGTAAATACTTTTTTTTAGAATTTAATTTTTTTATATTTCTTAAGTCATGATTTTTCATATTATTCATTATTTTTCAAAGTTTCAATTGTTTTAAATTTTTTAATGTCTCAAATTTCTGAGTAATTTTGTATTATATTTCGCATCGTTCCTTACAAGTTTCGAGATCCAGTATTTCACTTGCGGCGGAAGCCACGCCATTTTGACCGTTGACACTAGATCGAATTCCGGAAATGATTCAGAACTGGAGGGCTCGAGCAAAGAGTGTCCAGACATTGCTGCGACTCCCTTGGAAAAACTCATTCGTTCCAAGTGAATAATCATTTGACACATTTTTGAATATCTTCTTATGATTAAATAGTAAAAAATATACGTTCACATATTTCCAGGTGGCAAGACGCTCATATACAATGGAACGGAGCACCTTTAATGTGAATGCACCTGTATCTTCTATTTGCCCTCACGAATATATTTAAACACTAATAACATTATATTTAATTTGTTCGAGAATTGTAAAAATTCCTGTACTCAAAGAACAAAAAATTATTTCCAATAACCTTCTACTTTTCAATTTTATTGCAAGTAAGAAGACCGCGATATTACTTAAAAATCCGATAGCACTGGATATCGACATGCATCAAACACTCTTGAACACGCGATCGCGTGAAGTCTGGCACATTCTCAATTGCTGAACGATAAATTTCCATCGAATCTTGCATACACTTTTCATCCCCTAACAGATTCGTTTAAAAAGCTTCTAATGAGAATTTTTTTGTAGTACAGTATTAAATAAAATTCGATGATCTCTTTTGTGTTTATTCGGTCATACTTGTACTACAAAACAAACTTGTTTCATGTACACATTCAACGTATAATTACTTTAATGTACCCAAGTCAATTGGATTGTGAGAAAATTCAGTACCATTAGGGTGAATGTAATAAAACCTACAATTAAATTGATTTAGACCAAAACCCAAGCACTCATTATAAACAACAATATATAATTAATTACATAAACGGCAGAAATTAAAAAACTTTCACAACGAACAAACTTAATAAAAAGTAGACTATTTCTGTGAGTATTTTATACAGTAGGCAAACATTCCACCCCTATAAGGTTCTCATTTACTCCCCTCTTTCCCCATTCACCATCAAACCATACCTAAACGTAGCATAATTATCCCCACCACGTGAATGGTCAGCGATTAAACGTCTGCCATATAAAACAGCAAGAACAATGGTCTGTCCACCATAAACAGAGACCTTCTTTCAATTCCTCGCTGAGTTTTCCCAGAGGATTTCGGCTTTCACGAGAGTATTGCGAGGAAAGGGAAGAAGCAGTTGCATGTGCATCGATGGACACGTAGTCGTCCAATTTCCTGCCAACGAAAGTAAACACCTGTTCGAAGCAGGGCCAGGAAGGCGCTCGGTTGGTTGTCGGCTCCCCCTTCCTAACAATGGAGAACCGACTTCCCGAGTGCCGGTCTACCGCGTCTCTTTGCTCGTCCGCGTTTCGTTGTAGCGAGTTCTGCTGGTTGAAAGCGGACAGGTGTCGTTTTTGAAAGCTCTTCTTTAAAAGAAGACTCTTGATTCTTTCATTTGATACCTCTTTTCAGTGGATGTTTTTTGGAAGCATTCGTGACACGTGCTCCGGTAAAAAATCGGTTAGTTTGTTGGTTTCTTAAAGAACCCTACGGTGTCTGTTTCTTGGTGCTTCTGAAGATGTACAGTCTGTGATGGAATGATTGAGATTAACTGGTTGCTCGTGAAGGGTGATAGAGAGTATTGTAAGATTAGTAAAGAAGTTATGGAAGTGAATCGTTGGTTCATACTTGGTGAACGGTGACGACGATTTTGAAAGGAATGCTCGTTGCCGGTCGTTGATACGGGGAGCAGGCGAGACGGAACTTGGAAGCTTGAGTGGTGGAGAGTGAAATAGTGTCGCTGCTGATTCTGATCATCGGACAAGATTCTTGTGGTAAGTGGTCAGAACTGTGCACAAGGGTGTGGAAGATGAGGCACCTTGGAAAATTTAATTGCAAAGTTGAATTCTATACAGGGTGTTTTAACAGGTTGGTGTCAAATTGATACAGCGTATGCAGCAGGTGAAGTACATGAAAAAAGTTCATATAAACACATATCCGAAAATGACTGATTAAAGAGTTATAAGAAATAAAAGAATCGTTGTCCATTGAGTAAAGTTGTGCGATGCTCCTCGGTTTCATAGCTCTGTACAGTTGTTGATCAATGAACAAATGACTATTTTCATTACCACTACTGTTAAGTTATAACAGTTGTTCAAAAGTTCCTCCTTCTGCGACAATACAGGCTTTTATTCGACGAAATAGTGGCTAACAGACGATTTTGAATACTCCTGACGAATTACAGATTTTAATAATTGCATTCTAAATTTTGAAAAATGAGTTGATATGAAACTTTGTTATTATTCTCTAGACTTTGCGAAGCTTTAAGTTATAACAGTTGTTCAAAAGTTCCTCCTTCTGCGACAATATAGGCTTTTATTCGACGAAATAGTGGCTAACGGACGATTTTGAATACTCCTGACGAATTACAGATTTTAATAATTGCATTCTAAATTTTGAAAAATGCGTTGATATGAACCTTTTTCACCTAGTTGATCTCTTAAATAGGCTGTATCAATTTGGCACTAACCTATTGAAGCAACCTGTATAACATAGCAAAAAGGGTCAGTTGTTGTTTCTGTACATATAGGTATATATTAGTACACTTGTATATAAAATAAACAGTGAAAAATGTATAATCTAGATCTGATATGATCTTTTATGTTAACACAATAGACAATACAAACAATGAAAAACAATGATATTCTTTCACTCTAAATCTCATAAAATTTCAAATAATCCAATATCATCAATATTCTTGCTTTACCTGAAAATTCGTTGCTATAACCTACAAACATTACAAGACGTTTCAAAGTTTTCGGGGCTGGTGTATATTCCACATGTTTCTTCTACGCAATAAATCGATACATTTCAGCTATTTCGAAAAACTCAATTGCACGCTTAGGTTTCATATAACGTAGCTAAAAAGGCCAGTATCTACATTCCGAAAATGTATAATCTAAGTCTGATAACATCAATATTCTTTCTTTATTGGAAAATTCGTTGCTATAACCTGCAAAAATTACAAGACATTTTCAAAGTTTCCGGGGCCGGTGTATATTCCACCTGTTCCTTCTATTCAAAAAATCGATATGTTTCCTGTACTTTCGATCGTGAAAGTGGCAGGCAAAATGGAGGCGCGTACAAAGGAAAAGAGCACAGTGATTCATCAAGGGGCTTCTTGAGGTAGCGTCGACTCAAGCCGGCGTCGCGAATCGTGGCCAGGGGGGAGGACTTTACGCCGGTTGCCCATGGCAGTGCGTTTCAGTTTACGGTCGGTGGATTCGAGGAGTACTGTGGCCCACATAACCGTCGTATCCGGCTCGTGCATCCCGTATAAATCATTTGGCCCTGGTTAGGATCCTCTTTTCCACCGGTTTCGCGGATTATTTCCGCTTACTCTCGTGGCGATTGCTTTTACCGCACTGTTCCGCCCGATAGAAAACGTAATTGCCGACTTATAGTATAGAGATACGGTGATTACACTCACAGCCATGTTTCTTCTCTCGATCCCCCCACCTTTGAATGTTCTTCGATAATCTCGAGATCACCACTTGTGAAGAATATAGAAATACGCTTTTTCAATTTCAAATTCAAGACGAATGGAAAAGCATAATTACTTGTATTCATTTGAAAATTATTCCTGAGAAGGTTCAACGAGAAAGGTTAAATACATTGCTTCATCATTGAATGGAACTGGATGCTAACCTAACCTAACCTAATACTGTATAAGGTGGAAAAAAATGCTCGAGTCGGTTCCCAAGGTGGTATGAATTTTTTTGCAATCGCGAACCTACTTTTACCAGCGTGCAACATCGATTCATTAATGCCCTTCTTTGGTTTCGTCCAGGTAGGATCGACAAACTATCGCTCTCGCCCGCCCCCACCCTCGAAATGAGACTGTCGTTCCACATATCTAGGTTTCACGTAATAAAGCAGTTTCTTCGCATGCTTTCTAACCACGCGTTATGTTCGCCCGTTGCAGACACACGCGCTCGTTTTTTCTCCACCCGTCACTCGATGATCCAACATCGATCGGGCAAATGTTTGCGCGCTCGCTTTTCGCTAGCCTGCTCGTTGTCACGCTACCGGCGAGGGACGAGCCTTGATTAACCTGTTAACTGGGTTCATTTCTCAAACAGAAATTGAATCTCTCTAATTTAAAAATGATAACAAATCACTTCATGTTTAATACAGGCATAACAGTATAATTAAAAATGAACAATCCCTCAATTAATAAACTACTGTGTTCTAGGTATTGGATAACTACTGACAAATTAACTCGTCTTCCTCAGTTAACAGGTTAACAAGCTTTCTGAAATGAGAAATTATAGAACATTAACGATAATTAACTAATCGTCTGTTATGCAATTCTTACACTGTGTTGAACAAAACACAACTGTACTTGACTATAAAATAAATTATACATAACTGTGACTATCATCAGCTAACCAACCTCTTAAGTAATGTCAGGAAAAGAATTCGAATAAAATTGTCTCTTTTATTTGCACAATACTTAACGCATTGCCAACCAAACGAATTGCAGTTGAATAGATGTCTGAAATTGCTAAAAAATTTCTAGACAAATTGATAAGGAACAATGGTACATTATATCTAACAATATTATAGAACAAAATTTCTTGTAATAATATATGAGAGTGAAAGACGATACATAGAAAATCTACCCCGTAGGTTAGCAGTGTGTTAAGATAGCTGTAGAACTGTAATTTAGGCAAAACAACTATGATCTTTGGAGATCTTGACACAATCAAGATCTGAACTTATACCATTCAATTTCCAAATGTTGCATTCATTTGCAGATGCATCGGCCGTTGCACGGACCGGTGAAGGATGTCCTTGGATCGTCATGAGACACAACATTCTGAAGATCCTGCCTATCCTGTGTTGCACGTTGCATTTACACGCTGGACAATGTGGGTCTTCTGACTTTTCTCACGCCACCTATGTATCCCGCCCCTCTCCGTTCTCTCCACCATTTTCGTCCCTTCTGTCCCATAATTCGCCCTGTTTGCCTCCTCTCAGCATTTTACCAGCGACCTTAATCGCCCCCCGTCTTCCGTTTCATCACACGGTTGATCGCGTGTGAACGGTTACGCAGAAGAATTGCGGTTGCAAAAGGACGGCTCGAATTCGAAACTTCCCCACGTTTCCTTCGCGGCTTGTTCTGTTTCCCTTCGATGCTTCTCGCGACATGTCCAGCCTTAGATTAGGATCGAATAGCATAGAAAGTCTTTGTATTGCGAAAATCGTGATAACTTGGTTGTAATGTCTTCGTTTCTCTTCCTCGATGGACATTTGTGGAAATTGTCGGCCATTTTGCACGCATGATAATTGGGCCGTGATGAGTGAGAAGTGGTGATACTTTCGGGGCTTCGTTCTGTTGCACTGTTAACAGTTTAATTCGATTCTTTTATGTCAGGTAAAATAACTAGATTCAATTAGAATTAAGCAGGAGACGGAAAGGTACTTTGGTGAAAAAATATGTTATTTAAAAAGACATCAACTTATAAAAATCACAGGAACTGAAAATTTTTTAAAATAATTTTTACACATCATTGTATGACCAGAAATTATGAATGTGTTTTTTCTTCCAAATTGTTGCATATTTTTCAGTTCTTATTTTAGAAGAGATTTTATTTATTTTAGTAGGGAAACTACGATGCCTCGTCTCAATGAAAATGATTAAATTTAGAAAAAATGAATGGAGATAAAGAATGTTAGTACTTTCTTGCATTGATCTTGATTTCTCGAAAGTTAACATTTTCAAGGTTTATACACCTTTATCTCGAAAAGTGTAAAGGATATTGAAACCAAATTTTAATCGCATGTTCCTTGTAAGCAAATACACGAATTGATAGGTAGGTTTAGCTGTATTGTTATTTCATTCAGTAGTAGCATCAACTTCTTGCTGGAAAATAAAAGAAAAAATTAAGTATTCTTTAAAAACTTATATCTTTGGTTACAAGCAATATTTTCAAATTCTAACATTTAAATATGCATAAGAAGGTCCAAAAAGCATGTGGTTAAAATTTGGTTTCAATATTTCTCATGGGTTTTGAGAAAAACGTATATAAAGATGCAAAATTAACCTTGCTAAAATAGACCTTTCCATCTTCCTTTAAATATTATCACCTATTTCATGAGAAGCTTTTTCCTCATGTAAATGGAATATACTAGCGATTCACTCTGTAATCCTTCTAAATAGGTAATTGCTAGAACTTAATTAATTAATGTACTAGTAGGATCGACGTTCGTTAGTGTTATAACTAATCTTTATCTTGTCACGCAACTGCGTGAACAGTTAACGGTTGTACGTGTGTCTTTTTCCGTATATAATCTTACACAAACTTGCGATATGTTCATGGTTGTTTGTAGGAAAGGTTGATTTGTCCATACGTAGAATCGGTGTTTCTCATTTACATGACAATCAGTCGTTATCTCTTCATGAAGGAAGTGCGTCTGTCAAGAATACCGCTTAAACGAATAATCGTGTGAATCCGCATTACCAGTATTTTGCTTTTTGCCGACTGCTTAATAGACCGGTTGATACGAATAGCTGCAACAGAATAGCACGTTCCGCTTTATTAGTTCCACCATTGACGTGTGACGACAGTGATAATAAAGAAGAAATTGATTTCTGATTTATTGAATGCAATATCTATTCTTGATATTCGAACAAAGTGTTCATTAAATCTGTGGCTAACTTCATTCGAGTACAAAAAAAAAGCTGTGGCTACGCCAATGTTAACGAAAATATAGTTAATTCGCAAGTAGTATTCTAAATGATCAAAATTCTGCACTCAAGGTCCGGGGAATCATTAAGGTTACGCTAATGCTTATACAAACATTAAATTAATTAAATATCTATTGTTAATTAGGTTTATTTTCCAAGTTTGATAATGCTCGACATTAAAGCGCTCTAGTAGATTGAACGGGTATATTATCAGCATTAACGGATTGCCGTTAATTTTAAATGGAAATCATAAGCAACCATGTAAGTACATGAATTTCCTCCGTCTAATTAAAGCTAATAATACAAGTTTCTTCTGGAAAAGTCTGACTACTGGAGGAAAAAGGATTACGAAAGGTAGCGCGGAACGTTGCATCGTCGATACGCCGTGAGTTGGCAGCAGGCGGAACTCCGCTCCAAGGGAGCGCACACGTTTAACCCCTCGTGCACGCGCTCCTGTTAAATGACTGCTATATACGTATATACGTATGCTACGTGTTTTCATAGGCACATATTTTCCTACCTTGTCCTGTGTTAATTCTGCCTTTTATCCGTATGACGCATCCCGAATGTAGATGGCCACACATGCTCCATCGGTCATTGAAATGTAGGTTTCTACTATGTCATAGATTCGCAGCATCAAGTTATGGTATTTTGATTCAGAACAAAACATTGTACACCTAACCTTGAAATAGAACGGTCTGGATAAAAAATACGACAAAATTTCATTTCACACGATTCTCTTTTATTTTAACAGAACCTATTAACTGCTTTTTTCTTGTAATTCCTAAAGTTACAAAGAAGCCCTATGCAATAAGAAGAGGTAAAGGTTATGGTATACAATATTTTTCACTCACTTATATCATTCAAATCGTTGGTTAAAAGTATAAAAAAGAATCACAAACGGTGCACTTAAGATGGTAAAATAACGGATAACAGGGTCTTCGATGCACAACGAATTAGAGGCAACGATCATTTAATACTAGCCACCTTGATGTTGTTACGAACAGTTACTGCGGTTATTTTTCACGTTAAATGTAGTCACTATATTAGTTATTACGCTTTTCCGCGTTCGATAAGAGTGAAACGAATAAATCAGTCACACGTACGGAATTTATTTATACTATTTATAAAAGAAATGCAGTAGAAAGAGACAACGTGCGAAAGATCTCGCACGCGATTAACCACGTGACCGATACACTACCGAACGACTTTTCTACTTCCTAGACAATTTACAATTTAAATTCTCACAAAGTGAATAGTCCTTGAAATTTTAATCGTGAATTCACTCTTTTATTTAAAGAGATGTATAATTTAGCTTGAAATAAACAGGGTGTTTCGTAAATGCATGTCTATACTTCAGTGGATAAATCTACAAACTAGAACAAGTAAAAAATGTCATATAAATATATGTCCAATATACCCTTGTTTTCGAGTTATGTTTGATTAATCACACGCTACTACACGCCTTAGTATTTCTTGACCATTTCTAATGTTTATAAATAATATCCATCGATATGAAGCAGATAAAACTTCGGGCAGTCAGTGCATTATTCTCGCGAGTTCATTAGTGTTCCAAAAATTGTGTATGCAATGCAAGTGAATAACGTGCAAGATCAGCAAGAAAGGATATAAAATGGATTTTAGGCTATTCGAAGAATACCTGGTATTTTCCAACGAGTGCGGAACTCAATGCTACAACATACAGTAGCGCGTGTTGAGACACGAGGCGGGCACTTCGAACATTTCCTTTAATCATCCATAACTCGAAAACGAAGGTATGTCGGACATATGTCCATATGATATTTTTTACTTGTTTTAGTGTGTAGATTTACCCTCCGAAGTATTGACATGCATTTACAAAACACCCTGTATACTTTATATACAGGGTGATTCATCTAATTTGACGA